GCATGATTACCACTGCAAGAAAGTTACCGATATTTAAGTAATACACTGCAGTGTTATTAAAAAAGAATTAAATATTTTCAAATGTGACATTCATAAATATTTTGCGGTCAATAAGTTTAAGCGAGTAAAATATAATTTGCTTTCTTTCACTTTATGGAAACTAACACCTATCAGTATTATAATATGCATACCTATGGTTGCAAGATAATATCTAAACCTATAGATCACTGGAGAATTGCCAGTTTTTTATGTTGTAAATTATAGTTGTGCAACTTTTTTTTTAATGAAGATAAAGGTAAATTTGCAAATCTGAAACAGGTAAGTATTAAAATTTCTTTGTATTTTCAGTTTGATGTTTGCTTTGCAGTTCTCATTGAACGTGTAATAAATATAAATTTGTCAATTTTGCATGCTGATGACTAATCCTTTTAGTTGACAATATTGTTTCCATTCAATGATATTATCTTTAAAGTAAATATATCAATATAAACATTTATGAATGGAAGATATTATACATGTATCTATGAAATTTATTTAAAGGAGATAAGGAGATTTAGCAGATAAGGGGGATTTTTTTTATTCAAAAACATTCATATGAAAAAGAGGGGGGAAAATCCTGTGCTTACCTTCAATTCACATAGTACTAGCATTTACAACTGTAAATTATTGTGGTCCTGTTTTTAAAAATGTTTATCATAATTTATCTAAAAACAAAATGAAACGATATGGTAATAGTTTCAAAGCTTAATAAAAATATTCCACCGGTCTGTCATGTTTTTGTAAATTGCATACTGCAGAATTAAACGAATTAATTATCGCTAATCTAATTAATTGAAGATGTAAAAGCGTCTGCTCTAGAGTCGCGGAGTGGGTCCTGAGTTGATCGCGGGTTCGAATTCCACTGTGGGTCGTGGAGACCGGTTCATTCGGATGAGACCGAATAATCCGAGGTCCCGCGTCGCAGTAGGTTCCGACACGAAATAAAATTACTCCGTGTTTAATGTCCCTTTATGCAAAGGCAATGGTGGCGTCTATATCCCAGGTAGCACAAAACATTTTCAAAACATTTTATTGGTGTTGTAAAAAGGTTTTTACGAAACATTTCAGACTAAACATTTTAAAAATGTTTTTAAAACATTTCCTCTTCTCATTATAACATTTTAAAAACATTTTAAAAATGTTTTCAGAAATCCTTTTGGAATATTTTTCTAAAATATTTTTGAAACGTTTTAAAAATGTTTCAAAAGGTATGTTTAGATTTCAAATATCAAAGATTTTTATATTACGTTTTAAAAACGTTCTTAAAACATGAAATGAAACATTCCTTATCCATAAATCTGAAACATTGCATAAATACGTCTCTGAAACATTTGGAAGGAACGTTGTCAAAATGTTTTTGAAACATTTTTAATTCATTGAAGGGTTTTTATAGCTTCCAAATATCAAAGATCTTATAAAACGTTTTAAAAACGTTCTTAAAACATGAAATGATTCATTCTTTTTCTGTAAATCGGAAACATTGCATATACGTTTCTAAAACATTTGTAAGAAACATTTTAAAAATATTTTTAAAACATTCTTAATATCGCTGTTAGTTAAAAACATTCAATTCCGGATATTTTTCGGCCTAGGCAGTGAAAATGTTTATTTAAAACATTAACTAAAATAATTATTTTCACTACAATTGAAAAATTTTAATTATAGTTTTGACATTTTTTGGAAACATTTTCAAAATGTTTCTGAAACATTTATGTAATTGCAGCACAGTTTAATTCATTTAGTAACTTCAAGAGTATGTTGTGAGAATGATTTTAGAACATTCAATTTAATGTATTTTCTTTTTTTTAAAGACTTCATTTTTCATTGCTGCTGTTATTTTCAAAATGTTCTTAAAACATTCAAATAATGTATTATTGCGATTTTTCTAAAATTTAGTTTATGAAGAAAAAAAGCATATATAGAAAGAATAGTGTTAAAATGAGGAGTTGTAGTAATTTTTTTAATTGAAAGATTTTTTCCGGTATTTTATAATGATTTCTAGTTTTGGCTTATTGTTTAAACAGACATAATTTATATAAAGTCCTTTGATTAAACATATCAAAAAATCAATAAATGAAAGGATAGGCAAACAAAAAAAATTAAAATATAAATAAATGTATAAAATCATAAGCATTAAATAAAACTCTTAATGTCTTTTTTAAAAAAAAATGTTCTTCATCAAATCTGTGATCCACTCCCAGAATTTTACTCTGAGGCATTAGATAGGGATTGGCACACTGGTCAGTTTCAGTGTCATGATAACCTCTTATGCAATTCTCCTGCTGGGCAGCGCGTTACAGAGTATAGTGGTTTGCTGCTTATCTAGGCCAAATTTTGAATTCTGGTAAACAAGATGTGCGCGCTTACTCCGTGCCGATTTGAATGCGAAGACTTTGCACCATATAAACCACAATAATAACCTCGGGATTTATTAACTTTGAATGGTAAGAATTATTCCTTTGACATAGACTTTAAAAGATCATTTAAAATGACTTATACTACCAGTGTATGATCAATAACTTTGTACAAATGTATGTAGCAATGACAAAGCGTTAAGGTTATATACATGCATTTGATTTGAATATTTCATTCTTAGGGCAACACAATTATATCCTTGATTCAAGTATTCGTTGTCTTTGTGAAATGTTAATCATCAAACAATATGTTGATTTAAAAATGAAATTTCTTTACAGCATGGTGTTGGTTGCATCATCCGTATTTTCAAATTCCCACATTCAAAAGACCCGCCTTTGGTGAAGGCAAAGGTGTACGTAAATACTATTACTCTTCAATAATATTGTCATAGTAATTATTTTTCTGCTTTTTTCAATGCAAATGAGGAAAGAACTTAAATTTGATATAATTATTTAAAATATTTTTTGTAATTATTTTCATCGATCTTCTTAAGATACAAAAGATGTATAACGCTGATACAAACACAATTTTCCTTATCTTTACAGATTGTGCTATTCTCTCCGAGGGGCAGTATCTTATCAGCCTTTTCAGTGTATGTGATTCTAACTAAGTCTTATAGATCCGCCGCTCTGTTCTACCTATACCATGTATACAGTGAACATAGGATTTCTGTGATTCTGTTCTTTTAAAATTCAGTGAATGGATTAGACGCCGTTTTCAACCTTTAAAAACCCGGTGACTTGAAAGAAAATAAATTAAAACTTGTACCGAGAATGGAATTTAAATGTGATTAACAAATTGAATATGGGTTTGTATTAAAGGTTCAAAAATTAAATATAATTTGTGTTTATTTCTTTTAAAATATAAATATTTCATTATTTAATGAGATAAAGTAAAAATTCAGGAAAAATACTTTTGTAACCTCGACTTGAATGTTTTGAAAACGTTTGAAAAACCAAACAAATTAAAAGTGAATAAAACATTTTTTTAAATTGTTTTTGTTACATTTAAAAACAATGTTATGATAACATTTGTTGAAATATTTTGTAAAATGTTTTAAAAACATTTAAAAAACCATACAAAATTACGTGATTAAAACATTGTTGTAAAATGTTTTTGTGACATTTTAAGAAAATGTTCCGGAAACATTTGCTGAAATATTTCACTAAAATGTTTTAAAAACGTTTAAAAAACCATACAAATTCACGTGATTAAAACATTATTGAAAATGTTTTTGCAACATTTTTAGAAAATGTTCTAACAACATTTTGCTGAAATATTTCACTAAAATGTTTTAAAAACGTTTAAAAAACCATACAAAATCACGTGATTAAAACATTTTTTAAAATGTTTTCGCAACATTTTGAAAATGTTTTAAAAACATTTTAAAAATGTTTTTGTGTTAGCTGGGATGAGTGAAAATTTTGAACACGAACGTATACAAACAAATAAACAAAGAAGTAAATCTTTCAATGTTGTGATTCTCTCAAAAGAAGCATAATTATAAACAACAGAAATATACATTTGAGAGTAGATAGAGAGGAAAGAAATCAGAATCAATTCAAATCTCCTGTAATATGTGAACAATAAAAATAATGTTTTGTGTTTTTCATAAATTGGTAATATAGATTAACTTTAAAGTTTACAATATCTGGAGAGAAGTGGACAAAATAAACTTTTTTTTCTTCTTTTAGATATGAATCATGGTTATGAAGATTACTTATGTAAGTACTTTTACAATCTTTCTTTTAAAATTTAACAAGTTCGTGTTTCTGAATGAATTGATGATTAATACATATTTTAAAATATTTTAATCTTTTTTCTTTTTGTTTTCAGTAATAATTAAATAGAAGTAATGTCGATCACTGTTGCTCTGGTGTATATTTTTACGTCTTATGTTTATTCCATGCCAACCTTAGGTATAATATATTAACATCCTACGTTAGTACAATTGTATTGTTAAAATTTATTTTATTCATTTGATTTGAATGGAATCAGTCTTTTATGGTTCTTTATTTTTCAATTATGTATGAGGTCTTTTGAATTATTTTTCAAATGGTAGCATTAGATAATAATAATTCAAGTTGTATATTTAAGTTAAATACTATGTCTAATGTCAAGAAATTTTTGCATTACAATTTTGATGTACTTAACACATTGGCTTGGCATTTTAAAAAAAAAAAATATTTTACAGATGGACCAGTGAAATGTATCATAATACAAGATAAACAAGGGCTTAATTACCCACCAGGTAAATACTTTTTAGCACGTTATGAGAATTTATAAAGCTGAATTTTTTAAATATCAAATTATGAAGTTTTACTTGAGAACTCACCAACATATTTTTTAGATCTTTACTCGTGTTTCACACTCGTAAAGATATAAAACAAAGTCCATAAATTCTAGCACAAGTACTACACTTTCATTGCATATCCTTCGTTCTATCATTTTATATTTCATTAGAAAAAGTGTTTGTACTGTATTAATTTTGTTCAGTTCCAGCTTTCCTTAAAAACAACGACGAGGAATGTCGTCAAAATAGCCCTCAGTGGCAAGGTTAGTAGGTATTAAGTTTGTTTCTCTTTAAATTTTATCCTGTATTTCCATGAACTCCTTTTATAGATATATTAGCAAAATAAAAAAAAAGTTTTTGTTTTCTATTACTGTATTCTGATTTCCAAATTCGCTGAAATATTGCTCAGTATAGAGCATTAATTCCCTCTTCACACATTAAAAACATCATCTTTAAATATCATCTAGGTAATATTATAAATGGTTACTTTAATAAAATATAAGAAATATTTTTTTAAAGTTTAATCTAATACACATATATATTTAAGAGAGAAGTCAGTTCTCAAAATTATGTGTCATTTTCCTTTTCAAACATTCGTTAGCTCAAGTGAGCTAAAATTTTTTTGTATACTAGTATGTTCGATTCATGTGCATTTGTCTTATTTCTATGTATATACATGTAACTACTAGAGAAATGAATTTCTTTTCCTTGTTTCACGATTTGTTTTGTTTACTGGATTTAAAGAATGATCATTGTACATTATCTTTTAACATTCTTTACATGATATTCAAAATTCCACATGCAGGACAAAAAGCTTTACAGTGTGGTAACAGTGACGTATACATCAAACCGGAGTGCGTCTGTACATTTCATAACGTTTGGGAAGCAGTACACCACGATCATACGGCTTGTCCTTCCAATGAGAAATCAGACAGTGTTATGAGTCTTAATTGTAAGAGAATGAGCAGAGAATTTATAGTCTGCAATCTTTTAACCAAATTTCTAACCTGAATTTATACAGTATCTAACTTATTATGATTTTTCTTTAAGAAAACATCAATTAATTGAATGTTTAATTATTATACAATTATATAACTATACATACAGCTCAACGCACTTTTTAAACATGGTTTTTTGCACAAATTAAGGTCACATTCTTATAATGCAAAATTGTGTAACGTGACAACAAAATATGTTTCTAAAGTGATTTATAACTTAATTTTGATCTTATTCCATTACTTTAAACATTATTCAAACAAAATAATTGGTAAGATTTTTATATGCTCTTGGATGATAGAATATGACAGTTTCCAAATGCTTTTTCATGGTATCTCGTAAAATGCAGCCGTTTTTTGTATCAGTTCATTTTAAAGCATATATTTGCCTTTGCTTGATAAAGAATACTGTTCATGTAACTTATGCATTCTCTGTAGATGAATATGACACTAAGATGCAAGATGATAGTAATATTTCTCATCTGTTCGACTGCTTTCCATGTTAAAATTATGGTATTTTTTCAGGTTAACTTTCTGAAATCTAGCATCATGAAAGATACTTTCCAAAGCAAAATTTCAATGTTTCAGACCGTGAATGTAAAAGAATTTTCTTTTCAAAACTAACAATTTACTATGTTAAAAGATAAACAATACTTTCTTACCCTATCCTTTGAATGGTTTCTTTATGCAGTTTTGTCATTTTTCGGTGCTGTATTTCGACAAAACCAAGACAAGTATGGAAAATGTGCAAAGTAATTAGAAAAGTACTCAATTGTAAGAAATCAATTTGAGCATTTCAAATAAATAGTAACAAGAAAGCTTGATTAATTCATTTGTAAACACCTACAGTAGAATCATACACATGTAACATCACACAATTTATAAACAAATTCCATTTTTAAAGATTGAGTTTTTAGAAACTTAAGATAATGATTTTAGAGAATATGCGCCTTTAACATAATATACTTAATAATATAAGGGTTATGTATCGTACTGAAGGTCGATAATTTTAAATTTTATTGCAAGAAAAATGTGACTTTAATTTGTGCGAAAAACCATGTGAGTTTAAAAAGTGCGTTGAGCTGTACATGTAACTTAGTTATATATAACCAGGTTCAGATTGTGAGAAACACAGCCTTAACAACAAGGGACCGTGTATCAATGGTGGCGGTTTAAATTGTAACATAACAGGAAATGTGATGGCTCCCAATATACAGTGTGATTGTCTACCTGGTTATACCGGAATGTTTTGTGAGAATCACATGCAAAAGGCACTAAATTTACTTTAAAAAAATTTTTTTTTCTTAGCATTATTTTACATTCTTTTAATAATTTAAAGTAAAATAAATAATTTTAAAAAAGAATTTTTTTTCTAATGTTACACATAGATGGTGAGAATATGTGATAGAGTACAAAATGCCACAATTTTTACTGCTTTACAAGACTGTGACAGGACAAAAATGGAATGCGTCACTTATAGTGAAAATAAGCAGTATGCCTACAAATGTAGTAAGGATGCAGTAAACTCTGAGAATTTTGGTACGTATTTCACGTCGAATTCAAAATGAATATTTAAAATAAATGTCATGTATTGGTGTTTCTCGTATAGAAATCTTTCCTGGCGTATCTTAATTCGTATACATGTATATGTTTTCATCAAATTAGTTTTAAAACATATTTTTGACACACTCAATTTTAAGTGAAAGAGAATTCGAAAAACTTATTGGACTGTTTTAACTTTAACTGCTAGTGAAACCAATGATTTACATTTCATTACCAACTACAATGTAAAAGGCATGGACTTTGATTATTAAATTAAAAGTAGCTATCAATCTACTAAAAACCCCATAACTTTAATTCACTAATTTGATCAAAGGTACAAAGAATAATAAGGAAAATTAGGAAGGAGTACTGTTTATTTCAGGCTCTACAAACCTGCCTTTGTGTGGTAAAACAGAACACATTGTGACAGTAGTCCCCACTTCGACGGCTACAACAAATTCAACTTTGCCTAGCAATGACCTGAAACCAGTAGGAGTTCAGTTGATATCAGGAACCGGAGAACTCCAATATTCCCTGCCAATTCTAATTATAGCGAGTCAAAGCTCAAATGTTCTGGTGTAAATGTATGTTTTATGTCAGTTTTAACAAATATGATCTCATTATTAATCAGTATTCATTTATTTAATGAATAGCTTTTGTTGAAAGCTAATAAGTGTTTGCCATAACTTTGTAAATATTGCTCAAATGTTATTCCATATTTTGTGGAACGTTTTACTTTGCATATATCCATTGTCACTGAATTAAATCATACATATTATATAGTGCCGCAGGATTTCTTATCCAGGGATTTTTGCCAAGATTCATTTGTTATTAGATTATCTCTTTTATTTCACTTGTATGTTATAATGACCTATACTATGGGGATTGGGCCATGCTGGGTGGAAATTGGTACTGGTTTGGTATCCTTGTTTTCCATTTGAAACTGTTGCCTTTTGCTTTGGCATTTTGTACAAGTGCCAAAGACGTAGAATTGTGAATTTGATGCTTCATTCATGGAGATTTTTAGGAAATGTTCTGTCACATCATGGTTGTGTTCTTACTTCTTGTCTGTCGTTTATCCTATGTCTACTGTGCGCCATTAATATAAACTGATATCTCATGTACTTCTACATCAAAACAGCTCGAGTTTCAATTTAATTTTGTTGTTAATTTGTAAATAAGTTATTGTTATATTATTATATTGTTAGCCTAGATTGGCAGAAGTTATAAAATTACTATATTTTTTGCTTATTAAGAAACTTAAAATTATGTGCGGTATGTGTTCGAAAAGCTTTCTTCTGAAATCACGTGGTTATATAAGGTATAAATAGTAAGGCCATGCGGTAGCACGGCACCCTAAGCTTGCTCGCTATGATTTAAAGATTGTAAGACATATGGAGGATAGTAATGCAATGGAGTGTAATGAAGTTGGGCAATACAGTTGGTTTCATAAAGTGGTTATGTATTAGAATTGAATAAAAGCACTAGCGAGCAGCGTTCCTACTTAACATGTGTTGTGTTTTATTCATTTAGCACTTCATTAATTTATATTTGGACGCACGAAGTGAGGGAGAATATAACAAGCATTTTAAGGCAATAGTGATATATGGCTAATTATAAACTATTGATATTGATAAAACTGTTATCATGTTATTGCATCTTTTTCTCTTGAATGATCACAGTTTTCTATACAGTTTCTCAAAGATGAGATTTGGAAAGTTTGTAAATGCGTTTTGTTGTTCTGTTTATTCGGAGTATTCACCGACCGATTAAACCATTTATTAACATTATTGTTTATCGTTTTTTTTTTCTATTTCGCAAAATGAAAAGAGCTTCAAATTGATTTCTAACAACATTTTCTCATTATGAAAGCTGCATTCCAAGTTGTAACTGTGTTTTCACACTAGAGAAAGTCGGTGCATAATCAATGTTTTCAATAGCTTTGAGTCGAATGCAGGTAGCTCTAATCTTTTAAAAAAAATTCATTTTTTTTTCTCTTGCTTAAACGTTTTATCGACTCAAAATAAACTAAAATAATCAATGGTTGCTATTAATAGCGACGCTCGTAAACCCCCGTTCACACAGAGCTGCGACTCTACGGCGATCATCCCGATCAAGCCACGATCTGAAAATTTTTTAGGTCGGGGCAGATAGCAGCCGATCGGCGTCAAAACAGAGCAATTTGGCAAATTATGGTCTTCGTTACGACCGTACTACGATGTCCCTACCTCAAACGCGCTGCTAACAAGCTTCTACTACGATGTTACGCAGACCGTTGCCGACAAGCAGCCGTGTTTAGTGCGTTTACGCTACGCTGCCACTACGACATTGAAGACCATACTACGACGCTACACAGACCTAGATGACTGTACCGCGATGTCGCTACGGTGGTGCCGATCATATTACGATTGCATTACGCTTCTAATACGATTTTGGTGATGATGTAAATATATCTTGAAACTGCAGATTTTTGTAGTACAATTTTAGCGATGATACATATTTTGCGACCGCAGTTTTTTTTCCGGCCTTTATCACATGGTTTAGGGCATTTTCAATTATTATAACTGTAACAAGATGTGAAAATGCTCAAATGTAAATGATCATTAAGTATAGTGTCACCCTTTTCATGTAGTTAACAGATGATGATTGGTCAAATATTAGCGGTATAAGAACAAACTCTTGTCTGATAGGTCGTGATATGATCGGCGTAAGGTCATTGTAGGTCTTCGAAGGATCTTCAGGCACGTAGAGATATCGTAGTGAGAACGTAGTACGAACGTAGAGGGAGCGTTGTATTAGCGTGCTTGGTATGTTCCTACGCTCTCACAGCGCTTTTACTACGATCATGAAGATCTCTCTACGATGCTTCCGCGCTGCTTGTACGATTACGGCGCTTCTACTACGCCCTTTTTACGACTTCTCCCCGATTCTTGTTGGTCACGATCCCGCTGCGCTTGTTTTGAACATGTTCAAAATAAGCGTGGTGAGAGCGTAGAGCTCTCCGATCATGAAGACTCTACTGCGATCATACTACGCTTCTGACGACCCCACGACGTTCCTCCTGCGATTTGTCACGATCGGCCACGCTTTTGACCACACTTTGATCGTAGTAGAAGCGGCGTCTATGTGTGAACGGGGGGTAACTGCGAGCTCTAACGACAACGCCTGGGCGAAGAGAAAATTCGGACTACTGCACATTCATTCTTTAAAATTTTTTGCCGCAGTAATTCTGACCTACAATGCATCACTTAGTAAAGTTGCGTTCTCGCGAGAATGACGGCAAATGTTCAACAAAAAGTTTACTTGCCTTGATTAGTTGGATACATATTGAAGATAAATAGTAAACGTAACTTTTTCCATTAACTTTTTAATAACTGTTCAGTTTTTTCTTGGTATTTGTAACTTACATACGACGTCATGTGACGTCAGAGTCTACACGCACCAAATGTCACGTGCAGTTTGACGAGCCCGATCTAAATTAAAACAAATAGAAGAGTTTGCGCTCGCTCTAACGGTCGCACCGTCAACATATTATCATCTATTTGTTTATACAAAATAGATGCCTTTATTTTACGAGAAAAGTATATTTGAAGGGACCTATATACTAGTTTATAGGTCCCAAGTATTTATTATTTGAACGTTGGCTTTTAAGGGTCGGGTTTGATTGACATATCAAGTGTAGTATATAAAAGGTCGGGTTTGTTCTTCACATTTCTTTCTCCTGAACCTTTCGAAGGGAAAGACGCATAACAACTGCTTGCAATAAAATACATAAAATGTTGTTTTGTAACTTTCAAAATCGTATGATTTTCGATTTATGCATTGTTCTTAACCATTTTAACGCTGTTTTTACTATTGATATGCATTAATTATGACGGATTAGATTGGATTTAAACATTTTACAAAGCAGACGACGCGCACGCGGTAATAAACTAAAAATAGTTTACTTATACCTTTGTATTGTTTTACAATGATGTAATGTTGGTCATTGACATTAATAAATTTCTTTTTGTTTCATACTGCTTCGAAACCTGGCATAGTTCTATGCATGTGTACAAAAATACGGAAACTCGGTCGGAGCTTCTCGTGGACATGAACCCAAAAGACTACAAATCATAGAAAAGCATAGAAAATTATCTTTTAATCGTTTGGAAAACCAGACATTGAATATAAGTATCATCACAGATTCACAGTCCAGTGTATCTGGTACATCAATCACCTTTGCATTGCATTAATTAGTTGAGTGTGTGTACATGTATACTTGAATTGTTTCTTCCACTGTAGATTTGTAACCGGGTTTTCCCAAATTTCCAAAAACTCAGGTTGTGTTGTTGAGGGTTCTTTTTAATATGTGAAAGTATAATTATAGGTGGATAAACAACCCTACAAAACATGTAAACATAATAAATATTTCATAACATTAACATAGATATATATTTATCACAAATTATTCCATTAGCATAAAATCTATATTACACTGATATTTCTATTAATTTACTCATTATGACTTCATGAATATTATCAAAGGGAAATAACTCTTATTTCACCATATTCATATAAACTCAAGTAAATTTATAAAAATTTACCAAAATATTTACAGTTCTCAAAAATATGTAATAATATAAATAAATACCAAGTTGTGGACCTAGGCTGTCCTCTGAAAAACAAGATGAAAAACCATATTTTAAACTGTCATTTTCAATGAAAAATTAAGAAAACAAGTATTGAAAATGGGTTTATTCCATATCAGGCAAAGAAAATGTATCCAGATTGCCTACAGTTTCAGAAAACGGTTATATGTATGTTTTTAGTATCTACTTTAAAATATTGTTAAATTTAATAGGCATCGGGACTACTTTTCATGTGATTTTAAATTGAATTCCATGAAAATACTTTATTTTCTATATAATTCTATTAGAGACGTAAAGTACAGGAAAAAGAAAGTGGAAAGTGATTATAACGTCATAATGGATTTAGCACTGAAAATTCATTCTAAATTCATTTACTAGATCTTGACCTTAAGGAATGTTAACTTTCAAGATTAGAGGGAGAAATTAAAAATGACTTTGAAAAAGAATTTAAAAGAGAAGAGGGGGGCTAACTGGAAAAAACTAAGTACCAGAAATCAAGCGGAAAACAAAATGAATTAACTATAACAACCTGTAAATGTTACAAATTAGGTTGCAATAAAATAATCTCCCAAAATAGCTGCAGATCTACATTCAAGTCATAAAATTTAACATTGATATCTCTCAAAATAAGGACTTGCAGTTGCCTGAAATTTGTTTAAAACTACGGTCAAAATAACCCAATAGTCCAGTCAATCTAGCTCAAAAACACCCAAACCTCAAACAAATTGCAACAGAAATTATTCAAGTGGAATATTGTTATTTATAATGTGCCTTTTGATATATCAAAACTCTAGAAAAATATATTTGTCCAAACATCATTTTTTTTCCGATTTTCAACAAACCCAATATTTGTTCAAAAATGCCAGTAAATCTCCTTTTGAATAGACATTCCATTTATGCTTAAAATAGTTTTGCCAAGAATATTATCTTGAAATTTTCTGAAAGTCATGCATAAATGTGTCTGCAAACTGAAACCGGTGATTATTTCATTAGTTGCTATGGATTCCTGTTCCCATGGCAACAGAAATAATAGAAAAATAAAACCTTTCCAATTCCTTAGTATGGCTTTTTGCAGCTGGGACAAAAATATGTAGCTATAGTAGGAATGAATTAGTATAGTATTAATTTATGAGTGAGGACCTATGATAATTTTTAAAAAGGTATAGGGGATTATGTAAGCACATACACCCAATATTTTTTTTTAAGGGGGGGGGGGGGCATCAAATCTCACAGTAGGGGGGGGGGGGGGGGGCATAAGTCTCATAATTTTTTGACAAGCAAAAGTAAATAAACAAACACCAAACAAGTAATAAAAATCTAAAATAAACAATAAAAATAAATTTATTACAAATTTAAGGATATGTGATTTTATCAATAATCCGGTATATCTCAATTTTGTTTTTTTGTTTTTTTTGGGGGGGGGGGGGGGAGGAGGTAATACACTGTACGTATTGTGTTGCGGAGACCTAAATACCGGTATTTAGGTACATATCAAAGTCCAGAAAAAGCTATTAGCTCACCTGAGCTGAAAGCTCAAGTGAGCTTTTCTAATCACATTTTGTCCGGCGTCCGTCTGTCTGTAAACTTTTCACATTTTTGACATCTTCTCAAGAACCGCTGGGCCAATTTCAACCAAACTTGCCACAAAGTATCCTTGGGTGAAGGGAATTCAAGTTTGTTGAAATGAAGGGCCACACCCTCATACAAGGGGAGATAATTTGGAATTAATGAAAATTTGGTGGCATATTTTAAAAATCTTCTTCTCAAGAACCACTGTGCCAGGAAAGATGAAACGTATGGAGAACAATCCTCAGGTAGTGTAGATTCAAGTTTGTTCAAATCGTAACCCCCGGAGGTAGGGCGGGGCCAAAATGGCCGACCTAAATTTTACATAGAAATATATAGGAAAAATCTTTAAAAATCTTCTTCTCAAGAATGTCAAAGCCATACTTCATTATATTTATATGGAAGCATACTCAGGTAGTGTAGATTCAAGTTTGTTCAAATCATGACCCCCGGGGGTAGGGCGGGGCCAAAATGGCCGACCAAAGTTTTATATAGAAATATATAGGAAAAATCTTTAAAAATCTTCTTCTGAAGAATGACAAAGCCATAATTCTTCATATTTATATGGAAGCATGTTCAGGTGGTGTAAGTTT